ATCAAGCAGAAACAATTAATAATTAGTTATTTCTGCCTGATGATTGTTATCACATGAAACTCTGAGTAACGGCTTTTAGTATTACATTAATAATATTATTATATTATAGATACATATATTTATCTATATCTGAAACCTCCTGATGAGTGGAGCAAACAATTATGAAAAAGTTTGTCTATGAAACTGGTACATCTTTGGAATTCATCTCCTCACTGATCTTTTAAAAGAACAAAATAAAAAAATAAAAAAACAGAAAAGCTGTCTGGATACACTGAGAAGACAATGTTAATTTGAATAAATATTTATCAACAATGATGAAAAAATAAATAAAATCATATTTAATTAATACAATAAAAAACATAATAAAAAGGGATGAGGAAACTACAACTACTACTTCTATGTGCCATGTCTGTTCAAGACAATGCCGATCATGGCTCTCCATAATTTCCTGTCCTCTGTAGTTCTTTGCCATCTCTCCCAAAACTTGTTCCACCATCTATTTGTTCAAGCTTACCAGGGAGGTTGTGCATTGCTTTCCTCTAGCCTTACCTTCAATCTCTCCTGAGTATCAGATTTTCCAAGCCTACTTTCCTCATTATATACCCTAGAATTTTCAACTGTCTCTTCCTGTATTAGTGTCCTCTTTGTTTCCATTGATTCTAGAAGCTTGTCATTGATCACAGGTTCAATATCAGTAGAACCATATTTCTGTTGTTTCAAGTCTTTTCTTCTGTGAGGAGATTGTCCAGCATTCACTGTCATATAGGAGGACTGATACTACATAACAGTTCGGTACTCTTTTACTTGTTGGTAATAAAAAAACGAGAAAATGAAAAGAGAAAAAAAAATACTATTCCTGCCTTGATATTAAGTCTGATAAGTTCAATAAGGTCAAAGTCCACTCTGTTGTTAACTGGGGTAAAGAATGGATTGTTAATTTCAACACCTCCAAAACTAAACTGCTCTCTATTAAACATCTGAGAGACCCCTCTCTGCCTTTCATCAGCATGGCCGACCGTTGTGGCTTCTCAGTCTAACATTCTTGGTTGACTATATTGAATCCATTACTAGCTAGACAATTTTTCTCACCAGAATCTCTCGTACATATCCACAAGTCTACCATTCATCCATGCTTAGAATATTGCTGCCACATATGGTCTGGTGCTCTTGCCATATATCTAGAGGTCCTTGATAAAATCCAAAGAAGAATCAGCAATATTATTGGTCCTGATTTGGTGTTGCAGCTTCAGTCACTTTCCCAATGTCATAAAGTTGCCTCCCTGTGTCTTTTCTATAAATATTTCATGGTAATTGTTCAGATGAGCTCTTACCTTGACTTATGAATTTAAGCACAGTACTAGACTGGCGATGAGATCTCATCAATTTACAGTTGATTCAGCTAGATGTAACCATAAATTTTATGTTAACAGTTTCTTTTCTCGCGCTTCTCACTTGTGGAACTCTCTTCCAGCCCCATGTTTTCCTGTCAATTTTAATCTTCAAAAATTTAAATGCAATATCAATTGCTATCTACTGTCCACCTGATTACTATTCTTTTGTTCTTGTTCTTTTCTGTTTTCTAATTCTTCAACACCTAGTAACCCCTTGTGTTTTAGTGGCTTTACTTCCTTGCTTAGAGTGAACTTTGGGGGAAAAGAATAAAAAAAAGTATATATTCTATAGTATTTTTCTTTTCTATTTTTTCCCTTTTTTTATTGTCTGTTTTTATTGTATTAATTACATTTGAACTGCTAATAAGATATTTAAAATCACATTTTTGTGTTTAAAATAAAAAAAAAAAAATGCCCTGTCCCTTCAGATTGTAGGCTATGATGATTCTTTGCTGACACCTTTTAATTATCTGTGAATTGCTATGACTTCTCATGAAAAATATGGGATTCAGAATTTTCCTTCTCTTAGATTGATTGCTACATGAGGCCAGAAAATCCAGTCCAGTCTTATCCCCCATCCCAGCTATGGGTTAAATAGATAATTTAACCCATAGCTGGGATGGGGGATAAGAGACAGATCCATGCCTCTTGCAAGGGCATTTGTAAGAAAGTGAAGGCAACAGGGTTTTGAACTCAGCCCACTTTGTTCACTTTTTGAATCAATATCTTTAAACCTGCCCATCCTCCATCTTTGTATTTAGATGTTTTAAATTGCTTTGTTATTATTTAATATATGCTCTCTTCATCATATATGGAATATATCAAATGTATTTGCAAGTTCTTTTATTTTATCTATAATGTCTGTAACTTTTTGATGTATCAAAGTTATCTCCCTTGCAGTGGCTATGTTGGAAGCAGACTGCTTCAAGATGATTAGAAAACATGGAGCAGAATACCAGAACAATAATTGAAAAAATATTTAATGATTTACGTGTAAAATCTTTCTGATAATGATAAGGACTCAACAAAATATGCCACCATTTTTGATGATATTGGTGAACTAATCATGAATAAATCATGTGAACTGCAAAGTAAAAGTCAGTATTTACCTGTGCTTTTTTAACTTTCTTTTTCAGGGATTCAATGTCAACGTCAGCATCTACAAAAATAATTAGTAGCAATTAAAAAAGAAAAAAAAAATACCTAAGAAGTAAAAAAATTTTTTAGCTGCTGCAGTTGTCTCAGAATTTAAAGACAGACATGAATATATTTATTCAATGTCTTGATGTTAAAATTTAAAAGTCTCTAGGTAAAAAAAAAAAACTGTGATTGACTTGAGAGAAAGCAAATCAGATATGAGCATCAGAAAGAAAAGAAATTTTTTAAAAAGCTGTTAAAAGAAAAGTAAATTTTATATTAAGTTCTTTAATTAAAAATAGTACTCCAAAGAAAATAGAACATACTTTGAAAGAGAAAAAAAAAGTTGCGGAAAAAAAGAAAATCATAATAAAAAGTGCAAGTTTTACCTGTTTTGGGCACTTTTGTGGCTGGTGCAGACTCTTCTGGGGCAATAAATGCCTGGCTTCTTTTCTCTTTCTGTCGGGCGGCAGCACTCTTTTGCTTATCCTGCAAGACCAAAGAAAACACATGAAAGAACCATTTACTAAGAGATATAATGGAACAGATTTTTTATAGTAGAAATGAACTTTCTTATAAACATTCTTAATTCTGTCAAAATACAACTGCCTTATCTATATATCTTCAGATAAAAGTAAGTAACATTTAATTTAAAAGAGGTCTCAACAAAATAATGTAATAACTTGTATCTGTCCATAAGGAAATTGTCTAGGATTTATATGCAGACAACTTCATGTTATGACCTATATCAAAAATATTTTTTTCTGGTGGGTTTGAATTTAGCATAAGTCATATTCAGTTGGTTATTCACAGCAAAGTCCACAAACCTTATTTTTTTTAATGTATTCTGCCTTTGAAATTAAATTAATCTTTTGCTTGCCAGTGGTTTGACATTGCCCGAGGTGTTGAAACGTGATTGTAATCGTGTAGTGATTTTTAACATGTTTTTGTTTTAATATCCTAAAATATTTTATATATACATACACACACACACACACACACACACACTGTCTGAATTGATTAAGCAAATCATATAAACTTCAATAATATAAATTTGGTTTGAAAAAAAATTGTTAACTTTTAAACAATCAATTTATATGTCAAAACAAAGCCCACTTAAAATTTTAGGTAGTATCAATATCTTTTATTGAAGTTATTGAAGTAATTTGATGTATTCTAAAAAACTACCACCTGAAGAAAGTGGCAAAAGAAAATAATCAATTTTACTTCAATAAAAAGGTAATAAAATCATCAAAAATTGATCAACATCTATAATAGAAAAAAATCACAAACACATAATAAGCCCTTGAATCCTTTACATTTTAATATAGTGACCCTTCTTCTCGATAAACAGCCAGTAATCTATTTGTTAATTTTTTTTTTTTTACTTCAGTTCAATTTCTAACAGGGTAATTTGAATTGCTTTCTATATGTCTGCTTTACTATAATATTCTTTGCTACTTTCATATAATTTCATCATCACAATTGACTCTAGAATTTCAATCAGATTCAGATCAGGACTCGATGGTGACCATTACATTATCTTCTCCCTGCTCAAAATCATTTATGGGTAAGCTTAGATACATGTGAAGGAGGATTGTTGCGCATAAATACACACTTCACTTTGAAACTGCGAGGATGAGACTTGTACCATGCAAAGAAAGTTTTGTTCATAAAACTGCAATAGTTAGCTCTGTTCAGTTTAACTCCTTCATCGACTTTGAATGGTCCAATAATGCTTTGGTCAACAATTACAGCTACTGCTTCCTTTTAGCTACACGTCTGAATTGGATAAAATCTATCCTTTGGCCCAGGTTCATCACATGTCGTTCAAGATTCATCCATGAAAATTACTTTACAAAAGTCAATTTTTATGTATTTCTTGGTCCAATTTTGATCCTTTAAAATATTTGCTTTAGTGGGAGGAGATTGCCTAGGAAATTTTTTTTACAGATCCCATTCACAAAGTATTCTACACCTTTTGTTCTTTTGACTTGCTCAATTCCAGTCTTTTCCAAAGATCTGAGTGCTGGTCAAAAATGGTTGTTTTGTTATAACTCGCTTTAGTTTACATTCATCCCAAGGAAGCAAGTTCTTAAAGCCTTTTCCTTTGCTTTGAGTACTCAACTTAGTTATATTTTCAACAGCCTTCTTTATCGTTTGATGATCTCTGCAAAGCTATCTTGATATCTCCAATGTGAACATTCCCTCACGCAATAACTTTGGTATTTTCTATTTTTCAGCAGTTGTTAGATCCTCATGTTTCAACATATATTATGGACAAAAAGAAAAAATAGTTTTTATTAGATTTCAGAAGTTTTAAGCTAATATTAGTTTAATCTGCATACTAACTTCAGTCAGTCCATTTTTGTAAAATCCAAATATCTCAAAAACTAACCATTAAAAATAACAGAAAATTAAGTTAAATATTTTACTAAGGATGGAAATGAATAACACTATTTACATTATTTTGAATATTGTCCTTATCTATGTCGCCATGTTGTATGCTCCGGCCTTCTTCAGTTTGGTTGGAATGTCGAACTGAACCCTTTATTTTCCTCACTATCTAGTTCCATGTACCAGGTCTAATGGATGTCAGTTATCCCCTCTGAAAGTTCTCCACTGCCTTAACCAGGTATTGAACTCACACTCTTTGGGTCCTGTCACTGGATCTAACTAATGCCTTTATCCACTGTGCCACTTGAGGACATCTGTGTATGAATTTCTGGGTATTATAAACCTAATGTCTTCAGCAACATGGCGACAATGATGAGGACAATAGTCCAAATAATGTAAATAGTGTACATAATACCTCATCTCAGAAATATAGATGGAAATGGATAAGTTTAAATTTGATAAATATTGGTTCAGAACTTTGAGTTATTGAGGTTTATTTGATTTGCATAATAACTTCAGACAGGCTGTATATGTAGATTTAATAACTTGGCTAATAAAATTTGAGGAATAAAAAGCCAACAAAATGATAACAATATTGGCAATAAGATTGATGATATTTATTATATATTAGCTTTTTGACTGAATTGAAGCACAAAGAGAAAGATTTTTAACATTGGAATTTTTGAACAGCCCTGTGTCCTTTTTCAATGAGACTAGGAATAAATAAAGAAACTCACTCTTCCAAGGAATGTTGTTGTTGTTGTTAGTTAGAGGGCTCCCTGTCAAAATTTTTTGAGTAAATCCAAATCCCTGTTTATCCTCTCAATGTGTGATTTTGTTTTGAAAATATATTTCTACTCCAATCTGCATCTTTCTTGCCAGCTGTTGAATGACGATGTTAAAAGCATGCAACTGATGTTATCAAGACTGTGGCCTGGTTGGTTGAAGTGTGCAATGACAGGTAAATTGTTGTTGCTGTCTTTGAGTTTTTTTTTATGGTTATTTAACCAAAGACACAATTCCATGCCTGTTTCTCCAACATAATTCCTTTTTTAGCATTTGTGGCAGAAAAGTAAATATATAAGAGTTGAACTATCACAAGTCAGCCAGTGGTTTGAATATTGTGTGAGTGCCATTAGTGTGTGAAATTGCTTTCAGGGATATGTTTAAAGACTTGGCATCAGGGTTTATTACAGGTGATATTCCCTTCGTGTGTGTGTGTGTATATATATATATATATATATATATATATATATATATATATTATGAACACAAGTTGTGCAATATTCTGTAAATATTTTTCTAAGAGATTTCTGTATGAAAAGGATTTTTTTGTTTTAAACTGTAGGAAGTTGAAATCTTGAGAATCGGAATAGAAATCAATCATTTTGCCAAGACTTTTTGATAGGAATTCTCAGTATTTCATCAGATATAAATGTAAAATTCAATTCTCTAAGGAAATTTGCATTTTTTATGTGTACAAAGTAAGATATTTTAACACTTTTACTAGCTTACATAAACTTCTGGTTATGGATAAAATTTTTTATTTTCATAGAAGTAAACAAGAACAGCATAAAGCAGAAATAAATTTGGATGACCGGGGGGTTGGGGGTCTTCGAAAGTGCTTCTCAGGATGACTGGGGGGCGCTTGAGTGCTTCTCAGGATGACTGGGGACCTTCAAGATCTCATATGACCATGGCTTCAAGAGACTCTCAGATAATCAGTGTTTCTAACCCTACACAATCAGCAGTTCTAGCTCTTCTCAGATGATCAGCAGTTCACAATACAGAATAGGTTCTTGATAATTTCATTGGATCATAGTGAAGACAAGAATCATTTGTTTGGAAATAACATGCAATAACCTTTTTTGACATTATTCTAACCATTGTCATTTTTAAACAGTGAAATAATTAAAAAATAGTTTGTTTTTTTTTTTTAAAAATGACATACCTTAATTTCTTGCATTTTCTTGGCTTTCTTCTCTCCTGCTTTTAAGAAATATTCACCAGTAGCCAATTCCTTGTCAATCTGCAAAAAGAATAAAAAATATGTACAACTGCTTAAGCCAAAAATAGAAACTTGTAGATTATGAAACAATTCTTCTGCTTTTGATATACAACTATTTTCCGATTAAAAGAACACACACGCATACACATAATCAACACTTTTACTAATTTTCTTCTATATTTAAGCAACATTCATTCATTAATTTCTTGCATGTTCTATGCCTGACTACTTTCAAACCTTTCATTTGTAGCAAAGAAGAAAAATTTCTCTAGTCAATATTTGAAATTATTACAACCCAAATCTTTTGGGTGCAAACGATGCTACAGGGTGTATTCTTTGATAAATTCTTTAACATTTTATATAAATTAATTATAATATTGACACATACTTGTGACCCAACTCAATAATAAAAAAAAAAACAACTCTTGCATCTTGATAAATTTTCTTTCATAAGTTAATGAAATATTATTGTTAGCTTATTTATTAACAATTTAACTTGCAAAACATTTTTAATAAAAGAAATGTTAAAAACCATTATGGTCAGGTATCAAGTTTACATATAGATTATGATGAGTTATTAGTTTATAAGTTTTAACTTGAGAACATTAAAGTAATAAAACAAATTTTTGTGAAAACCATAATAAGTAGATATTAAGTTTATATTTAGATTACATTGCATAAACTAAACAAATGCCCTTTGCTTTGTGTTTTTTATCATTTTAAATATTATTTTTAGTGGATACTCATATAGTTTATTAAATAGTATATATATTTATTTTCATCTACCAATCTGAATATTCAAGAAATCTTATTAAAAAAAAAAGAAAAAAAGATATGCATTCTCTGGCAGAATTTAAACCTGTGTACCCCTGGGTAGAAGGAAATCTTTTGTCAGATCCGACCTGGTCTAGACTGACTGAGCTATGAAGAACTTTGCAATATAATGCCTTTAAGCAAAATCTTTTCATAAATAATTCATCAAAATTTTCATATCTGCTCAGTTTTGTATCCAAAAATAAACAAAGCAATTTTCTAAAGAAGTAATGGATTTTTCATTTATTAAATTGACAGATTTTATCACTTTAAATGTTATTTTTATTGGATACTCATATTTGAATAGATGCACTCATTTATTAAACAGTATATATATATATATATATATATTTGTTTACTGGACTGAATATTTGAGAAATTTTATTAAAAAAAAAAAAATGGGTGATGCAGATTCGAATGTAGCACTTAGGTGGAGGCCAGGAGAAGTGATAAAAGGACAACATTAATGCCATCCCTCAAGTAATGGAAAGATAAGCCCCACCCTGGGTGATCAAGCTTTCAATCATACAGTGTGGTGCTAGAATTGCAGGCAAAGCATTACAACTTTTGAAGCCACCAGCATCTGTACCTGAGGAAAGCACCACTACAAAAGCTATGCATGCCTAGTGCATCCCTCCACCAACAGCCTGGTAGTAGAATTCCTTATCTCTCATGAGAGAGTGGTGGTAGTGGGGGGGGGAGGGGAAGGCTATGCCTCAGAATGAGTTCATCAAATGAAACATCAATGCAACAGCAGCACTTACAATCCACAATGAATTTATAAGAGAAGAAGTCTCAGCAAAGTACCAAGAATGAAAGTGTATTGTTGCCATACCTGGACAGGAGTTGCACTATCCTCACTTTCCATTCTGCATCCTCTTTCTCCACAGGTGCAACATCACCAACCTATCAATACTCTGTTACCTATATCACTATATCTATTGCAAATGTTCAGATGAGCAGCATTCTTTAGTTTCACCAATTCAGACCATTACAGCCAAGACTCTCCATGCTATCATTGAGTTGAATCTTCCTTATTTTCCATATTCCAACTGTAAGGAGGAAGTTCTACTCAAAACAGTCACTTTGTGGAACAGACTCCTGTGTGGATGCTTCCCTGAACACTACATTCTTACTCTCTTCAAGTTAAGGGCCAGTTGATATCTATCCTCCATATCCTCATAATCTTAACTTTCTACAACTTCCTTTTACATTCATATCACACACCTCATTCTTATTCTGCAAACTTCTACTTTGAGTGGCTCTTGAACATTGTAATGGGTAAACTTTAATAATAATAATAATAATAATAATAGAAAACACAAACACACAGATGCATCAAAACATGTTTGAAATGTAGTAGATGAAAGTGTTTATCAAAGTTTATTAATTACAATTATTAGTTCAATTATGCACACAATCATAGAAAATAATATTGAAACATATGAGAGTGTTACAGAGTACATGTAACCCATTTATGCATGACAGCAAACAAGTTGGTCATGGTATAAATCAGCTCTGAGCACAAAGCTGTATATATTAGACTATCATATTTTTGTATCATAATGAAGTGTTTAGACCTTTTTTGTTTTTGTATCATAATGAAGAATTTTAGTTTTTTGTTTTTGTATCTTGTTTAGACCTTTTTCGTTATGGTACAAGAATATTGCAGTTTGAACCTTTTTTGTTATAGTACAAAAATATTACAGTCTAATATATTGGGGTTTTGTGCCCAGAGCTGATTATGACAGTCCCCAGCTTGTTAGGTGTCATGCATAAATGGTTTAAGCTGTTGTCTTTAGTAACTGACAAGAAAAAGACTTAAATGAAAAAAGGCAGAACAAAAAAAAAAAACTCCAGTAAGTTGATCCTACATTGCAAAAAAAGCATCCCATAAATACTTCATGGTGCTAAGTGCTGCTTAAGTTGTTCAAATCTTGACTAAGATTTATTTTTGGAAGTCAAGGGAATTGGAACACAGAAAAAAAAAAGAAAGCAAAATTCTTGTATTTGGGTTTTGTGTAGGCACATCAAATTGAAAGATATGGAAGAAGAAGGAAATTTTAGAAATGAAGTTTACCTTGCTTTCAGGCATTGGAGGAGGGAAGGGTGTGTATTCTTTCTTTGGCTTCCTTGCAATCTTCTTTTTCTTGGCATGAGTCTTGGATTTGAATTTTGGCATAAATCGACTCCAGTCTTCATTCTTTAATGATTCATCTTTGGCCAGTTCTCTTTTTATCATGAGAGTCTATTAAATGGAAAAGGTGTTAGTAAAAAAAAAAAACAAAAAAAAAAAAAACAATTATAGTAAGTCAGTCAATTAACTAAGATGCTTTAGTCATTATACAATGTCAATTATTCTTGCTTAGATAAAGCCCAATTTGAAAAGCCATGTTTGTTAATGCTGATAATATTTGAAGTATAAGTTACTTAGTCCAACAGCATGGTAGAAGAAATCTATGTTACAGTGGTGGAAAAGTGACTGAAGCTGAGATGTCAGGTCAGGACAAATAACATTGCAGATTCTTCTTTGGATTTTATAAAAGATCTCTAAATATAAAGCAGGAGCACCAGACCATATATGGTAGCAATATTTGAAGTATGGTCAAATGGTAGACTAGATTCAGGAGAGAAAAAAATAAATATGGGCATTGGTTATACATGTTTTACTGTCATCTACTGGTCTTAAGTTCAATCCCAGGATCTGGTAGTCAAACACTGTTTTAGCAGGTACAAACAGTAACTAGCATTACAGAGACAAACACCACAATATTCAACAGATATCTTATATCAGCCAAAAACAATGATTGATTTGTTTAATGACATATCAACACTTTATGTGTCATTTCATGCTGAAATTTTATTGGGAGCTTTGAAGTAATAAAAATATTTTATTCTGTTTTCACAATTGAATACATGGTAGATGATACTCAGCTTTTGTGTATATACATGTTTGTGTGGACATCATTACTAGAGGTGTGTAGTTTTGTTGAAGTTATATTTGGGAATACAGTTTGATTTCTTTAAGAAATTGTAGTCTATTATATGAATTAATATCATAAAGGAGTTCTTACATGTTGATTGCCTTCAATTCATCTTTGGTGTTACAAGAAACTTTTTTGGTTTCTCACTCAACTGGGCCCCATAAATAATAATAAAGGGGACTGCAGTCTGGGGGGTTAGGTGTCCAGATGTAAGGGGTGATATGATCGCAGAAATTGTCTGATAGCCATGACTGGGTTCTCCTGCAGAGTTCTAGCAGCCACTATCTCCTCAAGACACTTGATTTAGGCCTCTGTGTTGAATCTGAAGCCCTCACCAACAAATCTGGGAGTTCTTTTCTTATCAGAGTGAGTTTTCCAAGCTGCTGTACCTTCATAATCACCATTAGACTCATCCAACTCTTTCTGAATCCTCTGCACTGCCCTCAGATTCACAACCAAATACTCAGAAATGTTCATATTGGAGCTTCTGGCACAAATGCCAAGCAGTACAGCATGCCGTTTCCAAATTTCTGGTAGAATGAATTGCATCATGGTGCACCTTTTCACACAGAGGGTGTTCAACTATACTGTGCAGTCGACAATTTACCTATTGCACTTTGTATATCAACCAAGACGAGAACAATAGTTTGAAACAATACAAATATAAATGATAATTTCTTTCTTACTTACTGGGATGCAGAGTTACATTAAGAGTTTTTTTTCTTACTTTATTTGAAATCTATGTAGAGTGTATTAAAACACTGGTTAGTTAATTTGGTAATATAAGCTGGGCTTGGTTGGTACAGATATTCAGACTCAATGGAAACAAGACAAGCAATAAATGAATAATTAACCAAGACAAGTTATCCTTGGACATGGACAACAGATTGAGAATGAGAACAATCTAATCCTATAGACTGAATAAAGGGTTCAGTTCAAAAAATAGTTTGAGTATAATTGATGGGTGCACTAGATGGCCTGAAATTTATTTAATTATAGCTACAAACTCAAAAACCATTTTAAATTGTCTAAATCAAACATTTTCTAGATTTGGATACCCTGAAGTCATCATTACAGATAATGCTCCCAACTTAAATAGTATAGATATAAACCAATTTTGTGAGCAGAATGGTATTCTGTAACACCATTCGATATCCTACCACCCTCAAGGATAGATAGAAAGATTTTATAGAATGCTTGCTAAAGCCATTAAATTTTCACATACCAAAAGACAAAGCTGGAGAACAGAAACATTACAATTTTTACTTGCATATCGTAATATGCCGCACATGTCTACTCAGGTGTCTCCAGCTAATCTACTTTTTGGTTGACCCTACCGTTACTACCAAGACTTAAAACAAAAAAAAAACAAAACAAAAAAAAAATAACAAAGCAAAACAGTGTGGTATTTTGCAAGGGGACCATGAGGCTCTTGTGGAGGAGAAAGATACACAAAAATTCCTTTCAAATTATCCAGACAGACAGTTGGAGGGTATAATGGCTTATAATATATATAATATATAATGGGGTATAATCTTATGATTATAACAATGAAGACAAGGACATTAAGTTTGACATAAATAAAAATTACATTGGAAGTCAGATTTTGGGTGTATTGTTTTAAATTACAAAATGGGATACATCCTTTTTAATCATCTGAGAGAACTTTTTTTGCCTTCCATCAGCATGGCTGATGCTAACCTCCAGTAGAGTAACACATTGACTCTCCTTGGGATAAAATTTTCCACTGACTGGAAGTGGAAAGGATATATTGTATCATTTGCTAGGTCTGCTGTTAGGAAAGTTAGTTCACGGTGTCATTGTTCAAAAATTGATATGGCAGTTCAATTCCACAAAGAAATGAACAAATCACAAGTTCAAACCCGAAGATCCAGGGACAGAAAGAAATGTTGAAATCATGAATTGCATATCAAATGTCAAAAATCACAATATACTAAAACAGTCAGAAATTCAATGCACAAGCTAACAGTTACACGCAAGCCAACAGACAAGGTAGAAAATTAAAAACTACTTCCCAATTTGAGAACATCAAACATGTTTATCGACAGAACAATAATTTTCATTGGTCAATGGGTGGAGAAGTTAAACAATATTAACATATCTGAGATGCATTTACAGCAACAGCTGCGACTGACTTGTTTCTATTTTGTCTTCACCATATTGTACAGAACACACATGCCCCTTTTTCTCGGTAAGTGACTTTCTCTTTTGTCACAGTCATGCTAGACAATTTTTTTCATCAGAATCTCTCTTGTACATTACATATAAATAACTCAAATAAATAAGGAATAAGAAGAATTTTTTAAAAACTGGGTTTGAAGAGATATCACCATTGAGAAAAACAGATGAATGAAAATTTTATTTAAAAAAAAACAAAAAAAAAAAACAAAAAAAAAACACTTACCTTAATGTTATAAATTGGGTGGATATTTTTCATTGTGTCAAGAACAATTTTTCGCACCTATAAATTCAAGAAAATAATAATTCATTTTTAAAACAAAAAATCATTGAGTCAGAAACATGGAAGATTTTTCAATATGAAGAGATAAGAAACTACAGCTCAAAAATAAAAGAAGAAAACAAAAGAAAGAAAGAAAGAAAGTAATTGGTGAAGGATGAAATAGAAAGAGAAGGGTTAATCATTGATCCACCAAGTTCTTTTGATACAAGTATAGAGCAAAAGGAAAAAGAGAAAGTAACCAACTACGATTCAGTGAAGTTTAAATTTGTAATGCCTTGTAAGTTAAAATAAGGTCACAATCACACCAGTTGTCATCGATATTCTTGGTACGGTGACTGACAGAAAAGAGACATAAATAAAGAAAATTGGCATTGATTATTAAAGAAAGGCAGCCTTTTAAGAATGTTGTGAAGAATCCAGAAGGTGAAGAAGACTTATAATCAAAGGAGAATTGTATGATACCTAATTCTGCTGGTTTTGGGCCACTGATGATGATGATGATGATGATGATGATAAGAAGAAATGCAAAAGAAAATGGAAAGAAGGAAAGGTATCAAGATTTGAAACAAGAGATAGCACACTGGGGGAGGCGGGGCTTAAGAAAGCAGAAGTTGTTCCTGTTGTTGCAGGCACCATTGGAACAGTGACAGACAAAATCCAAAAATGACTGGAAAAAATTGGGACTGTGAACAAAGATGCTCCAGAAGGCAGCACTGCTTGGGACAGCAATAATTCTAAGAAAAGTTTCATCAATGTAGAGAGATGAAGAAAAGACAGAACCCATAATAATCATGAATGGATCATAGTAAATTATTAAATTGTGGTAGAAGATTCACTCGAGAAAAAGCAGATGAATAGCGATAATAATAAAAATAATAATAAAAACCAAATATGACCCATTGAAGTTTGAACTCACACAGCTTTACAAGTTGAGGGAAGATCATAATCATACTAGTTGTCATTGGTGCTCTTTGTACAATGATTGACAGAAAAAAGACATGGATAAAGAAATTTAGCATTGGTTGTCCAGTGAAACTGTTGCAGAAAGGAAACCTCTTAGGAATGGCAAGAATAATCTAAAATTATCTAAGGATGCTGTTTGTTGTCTGCTCTTCATGAATTAATTATCAAATATTAAGATCTTATCTGATTAAATGCTACTACTATTACAAAGAATTCATTGATTAACCCTTAATTCATTGTGCCCTTTTGATACAAAAATAGAGCAAAAGGATGAAGAGAAAGTAATCAACTTTAAACCATTGAAGTTTGCATTTGCAAGCCTTTGAAAGTTAAAAGATCACAATCATACCAGTTTTCATTGGAGCTCTTCATACAGTGATTGATTGACTAGAGACATGGATAAAGAAAATTATGATGGATTGTCTAGTGTAATTCTTGCTGAAAGCCTTTTATAAATGCCAAAAATGATCTGAAAAGTGATGAACACTTAGTCAGATGAAAATTGCATGATATCCGAGGCTGTTGCTTTTGGTCCACTCTTCATGCCTTAATTACCAAATATTATGATCTTATCTGAGAAAATACTACTACTATTACTACTAATAATGATTAACCCTTGATTCATTGTATCTTGGATTGCCAAGTGAAACTGTTGCAGAAAGGAAGTCTTTATGAATGGGAAGAATAATTCAAAAAGTGACAAACACATACGGTCAGAGGAAAATTGCATAACACCTAAGGCTGCTGCATGTCGGCATTAATTATGAGATATGAAGATCTTATCTGACAAAATATTGATAGTAATAATAATAAATGGTTTGGTTTGTAGAATCTTTAATTTGCAATAAAACATGCCCTTTTTACTGTTGATAGTTTGTATATTTTATCATAAGTAAAATATTCATACAAAAGGAAAAGAAAAAAAAAAGGATAAAAATATATTAAAAGATAGCAAAAGAAAAACAAAAAAAAAAAGAACAAATGAGTTACTTCCCCTGCTTCAATGATATCTGTTACTTTTAGGTATCAAATAAAAATGCCAGCATGATTCAATTCCTTCAATCCCCACTCACTGGCTCAAACACCAACATGGGGATTGTTTGGTATGGTATACTTATTATTTTTCCAATAATTTTCTGACATGATTATTTTGATCCATAGTCTTATTTCATGAGTTGAAAAAATCCCAGTAATATGACTTTTCCCCTACAGTAGTAGTATTTAGTACAATAATAGTATTAATATAATATGCTGCTGGACATAAAGTGGGAATTGGTTTTTATATTGTCATTAAGTAATAAACTGATTCCCCAGAATTACTACAATTATGATAATTAGCAAAAATATATTTAGTGATGGACATGTTATAATCTTTAAATTGTAAGGACTTTGCAAGACATTCCATCATTTTTGAGGGTGTGCATAATTTGGTTTGGTTTATCTCTTAATGGGTTATTTAATGCCAACATTAAAAAAAATGTATTGCTGGTAATAATTATTTACAAAAATGTATTGCTGATAATAATTATTTACAAAAATGTATTGCTGATAATAATTATTTACAAAAATGTATTGCTGATAATAATTATTTACAAAAATGTATTGCTGATAATAATTATTTACAAAAATGTATTGCTGGTAATATTTTTCCTTCAAAAATGTATTGCTGATAATATTTTTTTTACTAAAAAATATATTGCCAGTAATATCTTTTCCTTCAAAAATGTATTGCTGTTAATAATTTTCCTTTAAAAAATGTATTGTCGGTATTAAAACCTATTTGTACACTTTCATAGTGTTCCGACTCCAGTTTGGGGGGGGGGAACTATTTGCTCATAGTTGGGACTCTAACAGGTGCTACCACCTCAAATCAGGGTGGACCTGGGAACACCAACAATTAAGAGGTGGTTCCATGCTCCTCAAAACCTCCTGAACAGAGGCCTTGCTATCGGATGTAGTTTATCGTCTTACCCAGGACGTGGATGTAGTTTATCATCATATCTAGGACAGGGATAGGCATAAAATTATATGTATTGGACATAAAGTGGGAGATCGGTTTTCTATTGCTATTAAGTAATAAACTGATCTGCCTGAATTAATGAATATTATGATAATTATCAAAAATGGCCCATGGCCATATCACATAGCACTGTTTCCTGTATAATTACTAAAGTTAAGCCTGGTCACTACCTAGATGGGTGACTGCTTGGGAATACAAGGTGCTGTCAGCTTCGATATGCAGGTGGAACAATTGATAATAGCTCAGAATTATTAAAATTAAAGAGCTGAGTTCCAATTCCAGTTAGGTTCATTATATTCACTTTTGTGCAAATACTTTTGGGAAAGGTATGAATTTTACCTCTTTTCCCCAGTTATGGGTTAGTTAGTAAGACTTCTAGAATCACTATTATCTTAAAAAAAAAAAAAAATTCTGACAATCTACAAATATTTTCTGGCTTTAAAATAATCTGCAAAGGGTTGATAAGAGGTAAAAAATGAAGCAATTAATCAAAAATATATTTAAAGACTGACATGTGAAAATTTTCAAATAGTAAGGAATTAACAAAACATGACTTCATTTTTTATGGTATGGATTATCTAGCATTAATATAAGATTCTACTAGACAAAAAACTAGAGAAGCAATTTTCTCCTTTTATAAAATAATAAACTAATCATTACTACATATAATAATTGAAAAGAATATTTGAAAGCTGACATGTGAAAATATTCTAATAATAATAATAATAATAATAGTAAAGCCTTAGCAAAATCTATAATAATTTGTTCCAGGAATCAAAACTTTCTAGTTGAATGTTTATTTTTTTTTTTAATCATTACTATACCAGGTGGTACTTGTATTTGGTATGCAAAAGTACATCTAGTGTATAAAATGTAAATATGTAACAATTTTGAAACAGTGGTAGTAACAAATACAACCTTCGTTCCATGATAGTTGTTATATTTAGTGCATGAAATTTGTCCTGAATTAGTTGTTAAATTTGTAAATAAAAACAACAAAGAAAGAAAACTGGCAAAATTTAACCTTTGTACCTTAAAAAAAATACCCCCCTGCAACAAACAAACAAACACCCACCATACAAAAAAAAAAAAAATGGTGCAGCAAAAAAAATGTTTTTTCTCTTGATACCACTATAACTGTATACTTTCTCAACAATGTTTTAAAATGCCGTTTAGAATTTTAATAACAAAAACAATACACGCTATTTAATTATTAAATTATTTGTTTACAATATTTTCATTTTATATTTACAAGATTATAAAAATAAAAACCATATTCCCATATTTTTATAATCTTGTAAGTAAACAATTTAACATCAAAATAGTGTCTAATATTTTTGTGGAATATATATATAAAACATTTTTTTTAATTATATACCCTTTAACAGACTGTTTCACACAGTGCATTTTTCAAAATAGGTGTTAGTTTCCTATGGATGCTCTGAGCTTTATAGTTCTTTTTAACATTTTTTTTTCAAAAGAAATGCATCAGTGTGTCGACTGTTGAAAATAATTTTGTTCCATTTGTTTATTAATCCATTCACATTTTTTAATCCTATGATTTTCAGTTTCTACTGTGTAAACAGATGGCAATTTCTTCCTCTATTAGCTTTCTTCTTCTTTCTTATATTCCATTCTACTACTGGTGTTTCCTCCTTTCATTTTATTTTATGTGCATTAAAAAGCTCTTTTAAATGTATTTAAAATAGATCAGACATAAGAAAAGGAATATACAAATCTCATAAATATGTGTGCGGAGATAATGAGAAAGTGAGAAAGCTTATACAGTCAATGCACTTTGCCACATTCTGCCAGGCATCCTCAGGTTGGAATGTACAATAAACTGCATGTAAGGAAAGACCTAATAAATCCAGTTTAATTAGAAAAGAATTCATTAAGAAGAAAATGCATTGAAAATGCACTGATCACACAGTTCTTTACAGTCAACTTTAGACCACAATATTACCGATCAACACAAATGCATTTGTAGCAAATTTCTGTATATGAACTAAAAAAG